TTTTTTTTTTTTTTTTTTTTTTGAATTTCGCAAAGCCTTTTGGAGTGAAAGCAAGATGATTCAGCTTCATGTGTTTTTCTTCTATTTGGAGTTTTAAGTTGGGATAATGACATGATTTCTTCTTTTTTTTTTGGAGTATTTTTATGCTAGTTTACCCATGGATTTCAGTAGATGGGTTTTTTGCTGGATAGTTATGTGTTTCGATGGAAAATTGGTCTTTTTCAGTGTATCATGTGCTACTTATCTATGCATTCTCTTCAAAATTTCCCCAGAAATTCAGTTACATTGGTGTATACTGTATAATCTTGTGTAGACATGACATTATGTTTTGGCTTATGTGATTTTTGTACTTGTGTTAGGTTAGAAATCTTGGGTATGATTGTTTAGATTAATTGTGCTTTAAGGATTAAATGGGTTGGTTTGTTGCTATAGCTTAGATTTTCTATCCTTTACTTCCTGTGGCTTTGTATACGAGGAACATGAGTATCGTTTTTGAGTTTGGATAAGGCAATGCAGGTCTAGGAGAAACTTGAAATTTTTAAAGGTTGGAATTTTGTCAATAGATTTCTGTTTTGTGAGTCAGAATGTGATGCGGTAGATAACTTGTTTTGTAATGTATGAAGATGTTGTGTCAGGTTGATGTTTGAACTTAGCAGTTATCTTTGGGGTTTAGTTAATTTTGTTTAATATAGCTTTTGATCTTGATGACAAATGGTCGCTGGTGTCTAGTTCACGGTGTCATTCTCAGTTTGGGATGTGATTCTTTCAGTTGCATGGCTTGATTCTAAGGGGGCATATATATTCATGATTGCATATTTATACATGTTTCTTGTTTTGGTTGTGGACAAATTTCAAGCACTGTAAAAATGCTAAGTGGATAAGAGTTAACAATGCTGGCTAACCGTTCACTTAGCTTTGCTTTATGATGATTTTGACATAATCATTTTTCAGTTCAAACCATTGACATGCCATGATAAATCTCTGTGACTTACTGTTTATTGGAAATTAGTTTACTAGAAGTTCCTACTTGCGTTCATTTGGTGTAGTTATTGCAACCAAACGGATTGTGATGTAATTGTGTTTCAATTCAAGGCCTGCCATGCTATGATATATCCCTTTAACTTACTATTTATTGGAAAGAAGTTTATTGAAGTATTCACTTGCCTTTATAGTCAGTTGGTCGAGTTATTGCAGTAAGTCCATTTGTTAATTCCACATAGGAAACAATATTTTTAAGCTTATTTTACACTTTTATCCTCTCTCTCTCTCAACCGAAGCCTTGTTTTTATCCATTCATTTCAAAGCATTTATTTATTTACTTTTTTTTTTTTTTTTTTTTTATAGTTTCTGGAGTTTCCTCTTTACATTGGTGCATAGGGATTCATTGTCTGTCATATCTATATTGCTACATATTAATTGAAAAATAAAATTTTATGGAATATGTCTTTACTTTTAATTATCGGGTTTCTTCTTCATATCACTTTAGGACCCTGAGAACAAGAAGATTATCATTTGTGATGAGAAACTGAAGAATATATTTGGAGGGAAAGATCGAGTTGGATTTCTTGAAATCGCAGGGTTGATTAGTCCTCACTTTCTTTGATGGATCCTAAGGACTCAGTTTAAACTTTAAGTGGCCCTTCTTTGATGGCTTCACTTTCTTTGATGGGAGGGAACTTTCATCGGCTTAGGCCCTTCTTTTGGCTAATGATACTAGTAAATAGGGCTCGCTTCGTTTTGCAGTTTTTTTTTAGTATTAGTTTATTAGTACATAAGTACTTGTCTAAGAGTTTTTCTTCTGGATTTCCAAATTTGTAGATATTTCAATGCATTATTATTGATTTCATCTATGTTTTTGCTTTATTCAATACCTTCAAATCTTTGGGTTTGCGATCTTATAAACGTGGCATCTGTTATTTGATTTATTTTTTAAAATAATTTTCAAAGGAAAAAATGTTGTGTAATTCAGATTGTACAAAATTACATAGTCATATTAGACTGTACAACTATAACTATTGAATAAAAGATAAGTTCTATGAATTGGGAATTCTTCTCCTATTTAATGGTTTATATCTTACAATTCAGTATAATTTAGATTATAAAATAAAAGATTTATTTTTAATTTTTCAAAAAAATATTATGATTATAAATAAATTTGCATAATTTTAAGCTCTACCGAAGGTGTCCAACCCATGGAGTGGGAGTAGTTGTAGTTGGTGATAGATGTTGTCATTAATTAGGTTGTTTGCTCACCCCTACAATCAATACATTCTACAAACCAATAAAACAAAATCAATTATTGAAGATAAGCAACCACTTTTATTATAAAATGATAAAAAATAATCACAAGATGTGGTTTCTTACAAGATGAGATCACCACGAAGCTAAGAAAATAATATCATAAAAGAATCGGGTACATATATATATATATATATAAAAGAATTTAATTTATTTATGGCACAAAATCACTAATGAATGAAAACAATAGTAGTGCATCTCTAGAATTCTCTCCATCCTCAAAAGCATGCATCCAAAAGACAGCAGCAACACAATGCGGCACAACTGCACAAGAAAAGAAAAAAAAAATTAACAAACATATTAATAAAGATATCATCAAACAATTAATTACTACCTCAGATCCATTTTTAATTATCACACTTGTTAAATAAGGGTATCAACAATTATTGTTACACTTTTGTAATGACATTTATGAAAAGTAAACTGCAAAATGTCATTCTCGGGATATATTAGGAAGAAAGAAATGGAGGACTCACCATCCCTTCCAGAATCCGTCACCCTTGGATGTAGTTTCCACCGGAGGATTATTTTCACGGTATTGCGGGCCGTCTTTGGTGGGATAACCCATAGGCGGCGGAGCCACAAAGGCTTGCGGGGAAGTAGACGGTGGTGGTAGAGGGTATGCGGGTGCCGGCTGCTGAGTTTGACCGTAACGACTCATGATATATGTCTTGGGGATCGAAAAAACTTGAGGTCTTAATATGAAAGAGATCGAAGAAGGTTGTAAAAGTTGGTAGCTAGGATGAAGGTGAAACAAAGTGGTTTGGCAAATATATAGAGGCAGAGGAAAGAAGGGAGTCTTTTTATTTTTATTTTTTTTATTTTCAAAATTGGTTATTAATTAATCAGTCGGCCCACAAGGAGAAGGTAGGCAGTTCGGCGTTTCTTATAAGGTGAGATTTTTCAAAGGAGGGACAAACCGCGTAAGACGTTTTAGTAAGGAATGGAAGCTTCCTTCTTTGGTATTTTCTTATTAAGGCAACAGTAAATAGGGATTATTTTTTATATAATTTTTTATATATCATTAAATGAATAAATATTATGTTTTAAATAAATAAAAAGAATTGATAATTTAAATAACATACAACATTGTATAAAAAAATAATATAAAAATATTGTCTCTAATTCATTTTCCTTTAAGCAATAAAACATAACTACCTTGATGCCTATATTTACCTATTGAAATGGTAAATATATAATTTTAACTATACAATGTTATTTAGTATAATTTTTATAATATTAAATAAGTATGTGTATATTATATTAAGATAGACTCGTGACTCTAAATAAAAAGACAAATTATATATGTGAGGGTGTAAATAAAATTATGTAATTAAGGTTGTGTGCGTAGGTTTTCACATTTGCTTCATCAATTAAACAAATTGTCTTGCGACTTCGAAATCTAACATGGAATATCACATACGCTGATATGCATACAGTTGAGCCGGCGCCACAGAATCAATTGTTGAACATTTCTCAACTATTTAGTTCACATTAGCTTCAATGACAAATTGTGAAGCTAAATGGACTATGGGCTGATCATTAACAATTGCGTTAGTATCCACTTTAAATTTAGGATTGACAGGCAAGTCTCGTGGTTAAGGGATCTTAATAATCAGAAACAAAAGGTTTCCTGTCATTTGTCTTAATCATAAAATTTGTTAATCATGTTAATAGTTTAATGGTATCTTTTTAATAAAAATAAAAGATTTTATAAGCTTGAGTAATATGATATGAGACTAGAAGAAGTTGAGAAATAAAAAAGAATTATCTTTTATCATACAAATTAAAATTAAAAAAAAAATCATAATCTAAGTTTGAGAACTAATTAGAACAAGAAAAAAGGATCAAGCCTTCAAGTAGACCTGGCAATTTTTTACCCAACCCGTTAACCCGCCCATTACCCGCCGGTTTAAAACGGATTAGGGTCATATATTTATGACCCGTGACCCGTTAATGACACGTTAAAAGAACCCAACGGGTCACTGGTCAATAACGGGTTGACCCATCGAGTTAACGGGTTTGACCCGTTTACTCGTTTAAAAATATAAAATTTTTTAATTTATTATTTATTTATTTTGTTTTCCAATTCTCAATCCCACTTAAACCTCTAATAACTGACTAATATTCCCTAATTAACTAATTGATTCTCTTGACTCATCATCTTCTAGAAATAAAAATAATCCCACTCCACTCATAACTCACCTTCCGACCTTTCTTATTATTACTTGCACTAATACTCTCGAAGACTCTAACTCTTCAAACTTCAAATTCTTCTCATATTCTTCAACCTTCATAGTTCATACAGCTTTTAACTTTCAAGTTTCGACTCCACCTTTTTTCTTTAGTCTTTAACATTATTTTAGACTTAAATTTTAGTCTTATCGAGTCACCATTGCGTCCACTCAGCCTTTTCTTTTTTTCTCCTATGAGTCCGGCAAGTGCTTTTTTTGTCACCAACATTTCTCTCTAAATTCTTCAAAGTAAGTTGTTTACTTATTTATGCTTTTTAGTTTTCTTTCCATTCCAAGTAAAAATTTTACTTGATTTTCTCCTT